TTAACTAAAATAAATAAAAACTGTAATAAAATGAAAAAACTAACTAACTAAAACTGTATATTTTTTTTACAAAACTAACTAAAACTAATATAGATAGAATATCCTTAGTTTTAGTGTTTGTCAATTTATTTTGAGACCTGGATCTATTTATCACCTCTGCCAAGGGCGAGGTAATGTTTTCAGTCGCATATGTCTTCAAATGTTTTCAGCTAAATATATACATTAGCTGTGGATCATAACAACACTTGTTTATAATCTGCTGCTGCTCAGCATCATCTGCCAAATGACGACAACAAAAGTTGTGAGAAAATAACAACGTCCACTTTGGGATTTCTTTGAATATGACTGAGAGAAAAATCAAAACAAGTGTCTCGTAGTGGAAACAGGTGATAAAACAGGTGGAATACTTTTTAATACTTATAATTAATACTTCTCAAGGGAAAACCTGCATGACTATCTGACACACACTAGCTTCTCTCAGTAGCTCCTGTGGTAAAACAAGCAAAAGGTTGGAGACAACTGTTGCCATCGTCCTAAGATAATCACCCAAGACCTTTGTTGGCAAAATTGACTTACACAATTATTTTAGGAAGGTGTTGCTATAATGGGGGCTTTAACTAGTGACAAAATAGCTGCTGGTTAGTTAACTCACAGGAACATCACAAGCTGGAGGATGCATTGGCAACAATGTTTATTTAAACTATAAAAAAACTAAGACTAGAACTAACTAGAAGCACTCGAAGAGCGCAAACCTTTTCCAAGGCAATAGGGTCAATTATGCTAAAAGGTTCCCCTTGGAAAAGTCATGTTTCCAGTGCTTTATAGTAAATATAGTAAAATGTTGCATGTATTTAAATTCAAAATTAAATTTCTTTTCACTTCTCAAATATCACTGTTTGTCCCCTATATGATACATTTTAACTTATATTTTTGATCCAAACAATTAATGATTTATAAAGGTAAATTAGGAAAATTAACAAGGGTGCCCAAACTGTTTCAGTTTCATATGACAGTGTAAATACACACACTACAGTGCCACCTGCTGGACACTTTGAAACCCACGCCCTGTGACAGCATTACAGCTTTGCAGATCTCAGAGTGTTAAAAGAAAAAAATTCCTGTATCTGCACCGTGATCCGGAACATCACCAAAATTTAAGGGTTTGTTGCTTGAGCCAGTACCCACATGTGATAAAAATGTCATGACAATCCGTCCACAAATTTTTGAGTAATGTTGTCCACAGACAGAACGACAGACAGACTTTACCTCGCCCTTGGCGGAGGTGATAAAAACTAAACTAAACTGAAACCAAGCATTAAAAATGCAATGATAACTAACAAAAACTAGCAAATCCACTGTAAAAATGAATGAAAACTAACTGAATTAAAAGAAAAAACGTCAAAACGAAATAAAACTAAACTATAATGAAAAATCCAAAACTATTAAAACCTTGACTGCAACATCCTAATAAACTTAGAACTAAATACTCTGACATGTGAAAAGTGTAGAAATTATTAACAGCTCTTCCACACTGACTGTGAAACATGATGTTTTTATACTCTTTAATCTTTGAATTGCTGTTAGTTGTATTTGTACTTTATGTACTTAATTCTTTAGGTTATAAAGCCAATGAAAGCAATAAAACTATGAATTAAAACAGGATTCATCATGTGCTGGGTGTTGTTTCTTGTACAATGTGAAACCAGGAGTGAAGAGACGTTCTGCTCTCATTTCTGCAGGTGCTGGAGCTTCTTCTTCCACTCTCAGACCTGAACGCTCGAGTCAAGGTGGCCGTGGACCTCATCTCCTCCACTCATAAACACATCAACCCCGACTCGCTCAGCTTTGCTGCCTCTTCGTTTTACTACAAGCTAAAAGCAGCCGATGGCTACGTCCCTGCTAACAAATACCACGGCAGTGTTACGCTACTGAGAGCCAAAACCAGCAGCGAATACGAACAAAACCTGGGAGATGACTACAAACTCAGTGAGGTAAAGTACACACAGGAACAAATACTACACGCATCACATCAGGCCACAGGTTGTTTGAGCAGATTGTAGAGCTCGTGTGTCAGTTTTTAAATGTTGTGACCAGGCTCTGTCTCTCTGTTCAGGTCTGTGATGGAAACGTGTCAGTTCACGTGGTTGAGGGAGACCACCGCTCTCTACTGGAGTCTGAGGGAGTGGAGACCATCAGCAGCATCCTCCACAGCTCACTGGTCACGTCAAGGAAAAGCTAAACCCTCAGCCCGTCACTAGTTCTGCTGCAGATTCCCAGGATCTGCTGCAATAATCCAGTTTAATCCAGACAGAACCGGGATACAGTAACTGAACGGTAGAGCAGCTTTTCTAATCTCAGTAGTTTACTGAAGAGACAAACAGCCCCACGTTTAAAAGCTTGTTTATTTTAAATAGTTTTTTAGGTTACATGTTAGTAATTTCTTTTTAAATCATTTCTCTTTCCAGAGTCAGCTGTAGGCAGGTTTACATACAAGTCTGTTTTATTTTAATCCATACGAAACACGGAAATTATAAACAATATTGAATTTATTTGTTACGGATGAAAAACGAAACCTGTAAAAATAAACTGGAGATCCTCTTTAACGCACCACACAACCCGTCTGTGGATGAATTTATAAATAAAGGAACCAGATCCAGACTTAAATATCTATTTACTCAGTGGCTTGCTTTGATCATAATCTGATATTTATAACAAAAGTCATTTCTCCACATTTGTTTTCAAACAGACTTGAAATTCCTCCAAGATCTTTACTGGAATTTGAGAGTGAATTTATGAAAGTTGAATGGAATGAGCTCCTTGTGGATTATAATCCAACATGTGTCCCCTTCATATTAAAATAATCAACCAAAACTGGTATAAACTCCTGTATGCTGATGACAGCAGTTAGTTTCTGGTCAGATTTGTGACGCTGTTGCAGAAAAGCCAGACACAGATTTAGAAAAGGTTTACATGCATCACTTCTTATTCTTATCTGGAAATATCAAGAAAACAAAGACGATCATTCTTATTGAAAACTAAACTTAAAAACGAACATCAACATTTTCTTTTTGAAGATGAGGATTGTTATCAACTGTTAAAGAATAACTTTTAAACATCATGTTTAACTTGACAGCCTGGTCTCAGAGCAAACAAGATGTCAAATCTGAGTTTTTTTTAAACAAATGAGCTCAAAGATTGTTCATAAAACATTTTAAATTAAAGACGATATTTATTGTTAGTCAAAAGTTTAATGGGACTGTTTCTCCACATCTTTTGGTAAAACATTGTTCTCTTGAAGAAGTAAAGATTTGGAAATGTTTTTTCATCATTATTAAAAAAGCTGCTAAATTGTGCTCAATTCAACAACAAACTTGTATTCATGTCTAGTTTTTAAAAAACGTTGTTTTATTTGTATATCTTTGTATTGCACATTTAACCTGATAGCAATGTGCGCTGAAGTTCTTTTTGCTTTTTAGTTTTCCAGAAGCACTTTAATGTGTAACGTGTTGCAAAATGAGCTGTTTTTGTTCTGTCGCAGACACTGGACAGTTGCTGTCAACTTATCTTAAAACCAACTTGTAGAATAAAAAGAAACAGGAATGATCTAAATGACAAAACATCTTCTAGCAGTTGAGACACACAGGTACTGAACTGAGCTCTGGTTTTCCTCAAACTCAGTAGAAACGGTTCAGTTAAAATGAGTTTAAACGGGTTTTCACAAACCCAAGTTTAAATTATCTGAACTGTCCCTTAATTTCAGTTTCCAAACAGTTTCTACGATGTTTCAGGATTGTGATTCTATTCCTTTTTAACTTCTTCTGGTTTAGTTTCAGCTGTGGATCCACATGTTTTTACACAAGCTTTAACCCATTAAAAAGTTACTGTCTGTATGTTATAGATGATAACATGTTTATCATAGGAAACCCCCTGGTCTGGGTTCTTTCTGCTGTCCTCTGAGACTTCATGTGGTCGGTGAAGAGGGACTGAAGAGAGAAGTAACATGTTTGTTGTGATTCTGTAGTGTTTGTATTGAGTAATAAAGCCCTCCCTGTAATGACTCTGACTCTTGGTTTTGTTAAGTATTTTATAAAATAGTAAATATGAGTCAGCACACACATTACAGTTTGTTTCACAGACATATTTTTCATATAATCTGTTTTGCGGAAAAGTATATATTTTTTCAGAGCTGATGTTTTTAGTTTTAAAGAAACTTTAACTTGGTGAAGCTGAAGGCTCAGAGCCCCGTTTCAGAAAGCAGGATAAGTGGAAATCCTGAGTAAGTTCTGGGGTAACTATGTGCAGATCCTGGGTTTTGGGTTTCAGAAAGCCAGATAGCAGTTATCCTGAGTTAACTTACATCCACAACGTACTCTGTGAACCAACCCTGCTCTGTAGCAGGATTACTTGAACATATCCTGAGTTATTCTGACCTTTTAGCTGAGATCCAGCATGAGGAAAGTGTCAGGCAGGGCGTGTCCTTTTCTAAAGGAGCCTGTAGATGTTGGAGCGTTAATACTCCACAGACATATGTCAGGAGAGAGTGAGAAGGCCACTATTAGATGTCATTTCTGGATGAAAATCTGAGAATTTTTAGATGTTTTTCAATTTTTATTTCAAGTACAGCTTGTAGCTGTTTCCCAGGAAGATTTAGGGATAGAAAAATGTTAATATGCTAGTTACATTTCTCTCTCTTATGACGTTATTATCAAAGGTTTAAATTGTAACAGATATTTAATGTCCTTTTTGAACATATAGTGTGTTTTGGAGGTTTTTATATTAATACGTAGACACTTCCATAAACCTGTTCCCTGAAATGTAACACATGGACCCTTCAGACCAGTTCTAGATGGAGGTTTAACAAAAATCTCTTGTCCCTTAAGGTTACATGGACTCTCTTTTAACTCGTTTGGACTGGATTTTATGAGCTCTGTATAGTGTGTATATTTGTGTCTGTGTGTGTATATATATATAT